TCTCTGTCCCTCTCTCAAGATAAAGAAATAAGCTTAAAAAAAAAAAAATCAGTACTTCCAAAGGAAATCACCCAAAGCCCTTTATTTCTACACTTGCCGTGGCTCCTAGGACCTCCACCTCTTCCCATCCTTATCTTCTGTTTCCCTCACGTCTTCTTCCCTTTCTACTCCATCTACCTGGGCAAGGGCTCACGCCCCTTCTTCCTGTGTCTTTGGTTTTAACTGAGCAGTTCACCACCTACACTCACTCTCAAGCACCACTTTCAAAAGTTTCCAGAATCAGGAGCAAGGCAGAGTCAAAGGGCCGGAATGCATTTTCTCCTTGATTTGGTGGCACAACTAGACCCCTTAAGCTCCTCAAGGACCCTGTGGGTCCTTCTCCCGACCTTCAAAGTTTCCCCTCGATCTGGAAATTCTTCCTCTTTTCCCGTCCAATGGACTTAGTCAGCAAAATCTTTCCTCTATGAAGCTAGGTCACGGTCTTTGTGCTCACGGTGACCTACCGTGGGGATTTCTTGGGCGTCATGGGTGGTGGCAAAGACCAAGCAATGACTAACAGATTTTCCAAGCCGAACACGTGTCAGGAGTCCAGACTCTCACCTGAATGAGGAGATCGATAGCGAAAGTCCTCTTTGGTCAGCAGCAGGAGCGCTTTGCCGTTCATTTCAAACGTGTTGCTGTCAATTGGCCTTAAAGAAAATTCGTTTTCAGCCCACTTGAGCCACTGGGCTACGTCATCCCTGCTCCAGTAAATTGGCTGCAAGCCTGTTGGAGAGAGAGCAAGGCAGAAAGAGAGAGAGAGAGAGAGAGAGAGAGAGAGAGAGGGAGGAAAAAAAAAAAAGGTCTTGTCAGTTAGACAGTTGGAATAAAGGAAAAAGCTTTCTGAATGGTTAATAAAATGGAGTCTCCAGGTCTGAAGAGCTCTTATGTTCAACTCTGAATCCCAAGGCAAAGCTCAAGTTTGTAAGTGCCCAAGTGTGGTATCGGATGAACTATTTATTCAGAGGCAACATGAGAAGAACGATCCTTTTTTAGTCTTTGATGGACCCTAGGCCTTGCTGGCCTGCCCTTCCCTGCCCAGCTCCAGGGGCTGCCTTGATTCAGGTATGCCCCAAAGCTGAAGCTCCACGGTGGCCTGAAACACCCAAGGAACTCAGAGTCATGACAAATGTCAATGTGCTTTGGAGGGGACCTTAGAATCAGAGCTGATCTGATTGCCACCCAGTGTCCTTTTGTTTTTTTTTATTTAAAAAAATTTTTTTTAACATTTATTTATTTTTGAGACAGAGAGAGACAGAGCGTGAGCCAGGGAGGGGCAGAGAGAGAGGGAGACACAGAATCAGAAACAGGCTCCAGGCTCTGAGCTGTCAGCACAGACCCCGACGCGGGGCTCGAACTCACGGACCGCGAGATCATGACCTGAGCCTAAGTTGGATGCTTAACCGACTGAGCCACCCAGGCGCCCCCTCAGTGTCCTTTTGAAGTGAGAACGTTCCAGAGTCGGGCCTGACCTTTGAGAGCTGCCAAATAATAAAGTGTTCCCTGAAATTTCTTCCAGGAAGAGCAATTCACTCAGCCTCTGGGAAACTATCAGGCTAGCCTCTGGGAATGAGAGGGCAAAGCAAGGATAAAAGGTCTTTTGCCTTTTTATTCTACTTTTTGATGTTAGAACTTTCTGCCGGGGGTGGTATTGGACTCTGAGTGGGACCAGAAGTGGGCCAAAGGGAGGGCTGTAGCTTAGGTGGAGAGGAGAACTCAGGCTGGGCTTTTCTGGAAGTCTGACTGTGAATCTATATTTTTATTTTATTTTGCTGTTGCGGGAAATCTTTGGTATATCATTCAAGTGGTTTAGAACAGTGGTTCTACAAGTGTGATCTGGGGACCCCTCAGGGTTCCCAAGCACTTTTCAGAGTGTCGATGAAGTCAAACCTCTTTTCATAGCAATATAAAGAGGTTATCTACTTTTTCAGCCTCATTCATTCATGAGTAGACAGCGGGATTTTCTAGAAGCTACACAACGTGTGATACTGCAGCAGACGTGAGAATCCAGCCATCTTCTATGAAGCCAGACATTAGAGACTTGCAAAAATGTAAAACAATGCCACTTCTCTCACTACTTTCTGGAAGATATATTCATAAATATATATTTATGCTAACATAAGCTTAGCTTATTACTTTTCAGTAAGTGTTTTTGAAATTCTCAGTTTTAGTTTTCAATATGGTAAATATAGACAGGATCCACATGAGCGAAGCTCTTTGGGGTCTTCAATAATTCTTAAAAACTGAAAGCAGTCCTGAGACCAAAATGAGAACTGAGGGGTTGGAAGGAGCTACGTGCCCAACAGAGCTTCATTCTCCAAAACTGCACCGTGTGAATTAATGGTTCAAATACAATGGAGTCAGGGTTTGCCAAGAAGAGCTTCAGTCTCTCCAGGAAGTTACTTAAACTTCCTAAGGAGACTCCATGAGTGTGCTCTAAAAGTGCCCTTCAGTTTGATCCTAGAAAGAGTCACCTTTTCATCCTTCAATCAAGCATAACAAAGAACTGTCTGGTCTACTTGTGTATGCTGTTTCTCCTCCCTCGTGGACCAGGGAAGGAATAGCTCAGTTCCCTTGGAGAAGGTCCAGAGCCTCTGGGCATGACTATTGGCTCCGTCTTCCAGGTGGCTCCTTTGCAAAGTCTAGTTCTGAAGAATGGTAGCTGGCTTCCTTGAACTCTGGGGAAGTCCTTTCTCAAGCAGTCTCTCGTGTAGGACACCAAGAAAGAAGTACAGGCATTGGCAGAATTAGAGATGGGCGTCCAAGAGCTTTTTTTCCCTTGGGTTTTAAGTTTTACAATTTTACGTGGCAAAAGAAAGTGGCATCATGAAATCATAATGTGTAGTATGGGCCGCCTGGGTGGCTCAGTCGGTGAAGAGTCCAACTTCGGCCCAGGTCATGATCTCCCGGCTGGTGGGTTCGAGCCCCGCGTCGGGCTCTGTGCTGACAGCTCAGAGCCTGGAGCCTGCTTCCGATTCTGTGTCTCCCTCTCTTGCTCTGCCCCTCCCCTGTTCATGCTGTCTCTCTCTCAAGAAT